GAACACACACATAAGCACTGCTAACCTATAGCTATTTGTATCAAGTGTCTGTATGCCCCTGTCAACAGCTTTGACAGGCCTATGCATTCCCCGGCCAAGAATTTACCATAATCACAGAGCATCACCGATTTTTACTTCACAGGCTTTATTATGTTTAACACCGGAAAGTTAAGAAGCTAACGTGCGGGCCTAATGCAAAACAGAAGCAGGAAGCGGTCTTACAGAAGCAAAGAATTAACCATGAAGGCAGAGACAGAGACATATAGTTACTTGTCAGCATTGCTCTTTAAACCTTTGACCTTTTGCTGACCCAAAAAGACTATGACATACTGTTGCCCATTCAAGCCTGGAGTCTGCATCACTTCATGATTGTGCATTTAACAGCCCATTTAAAGACATTTCCATAAAATCCTTCAAAGGGCACAGAAAAAGAGATGATTCACTACAGTATAAAAAGTTAATCCTCGAGCTAAAGAAGATCCTGCGCATCAGATTCTCCTTTCTTCCACTCACTGAATTTAAGTCTGAGACATTACCTTACAAGCGGTTGATGTAATAATGGCTAAGACCACCTTGGTTCAATAGATCTCTTCAGCATATTCAAAAAACATAGTAAGGACTGTGCTTTTCGGGTTCATGGAAAATTTAAAATAGTTCTGGTTGCCTTGGGATTCAAGCATTTGAGGTATCCACTTGGCAAAAACCTGTACATTTTATTTCAACTGTGAGCCGCAAAACCACATAGTTTTAACAATGATTCAGCAGAATGTTTGCCACTGAAATGCAATCATGTCAAGGAATGCACATCCAGGCACTATGAGCAAACACAAACTCTTTCTCAGACTTACTGACACACACACAAGCACAAACTCTCAACAGTAGGTAAACATCATCAACGGACTGATGTACACCTACTGTGTATGAACAGGATCATTCCTGTATGAATAATGGGGCTGAGTGGAGGTGGTAATGAGGCGTGATAAAAACGAGGAGGGATCTGGTGTATCAGCTCCCTGACGCTTGGTTTTGTTCAGGCTGTGAACGAAGCCCATGTGGCTCATGCTGGTGTGAGGGAAGGCTCATTAAACTACAGACATCATCTTAATCAGTCTCTCTCATGCCACAACCAGGCCTTACATATGTGTACAGAACTCTGCAGCATGTGCAGGCGTGCTCACTTTCATGGACCATATGTATTTCTAAGCTGATATTAAATACCTGAGATTAGTCTGAACAAGGTAAATACCCTGATGAGGTTAAATGATCCTGATCATAAACATAGACCACTGCTACAGCTGCTAATGAGGCTGAATATTTATTCTCACCATTCCTGGAATGCCATTTTGGCAACAGAAAGGCTAACCTCTGATACGGTAGCAGAACCAATAAGCAGCATTTTTCACTAAGAGTATCAAGTATTAGTTTGTTTCTTCTCACAGTTTACAGTTTAGGAGGCTTGACAGTGCGTGCATTAAACTGGTAAATGTGAGTAAAAGTCATTGTGTGTGTGTGTGTGTGTGTGTGAGGGGGGATTTATTTGTGTGCACAAGTGCAACTGACTCTGAGTTACTTGGGTTCTCTGTTTCTAAGGACTGAGAGGATTTTATCAGTATTCAAAGAGATCGGTGAGTAAGATTAGTGGATCCTAAAATATGGTTTTCGTGTTTATATGTTGTGTTTATGATGCTCGTCCTCTGTGTCTGCTGGTGTTTGACCGAGGGTGGGACTCCACTCCTCCACACACAGTGGAGAGCAGCTGAGTGGCCTCGATGCAGAGAGGGATCCAGCTGAAGTGAAGCATTGCAACACCTATGCTTGTTACTGTATGCACGTAAGAGTAAGAGAGTAAGTTTGTTAGGTGTAGCTGTGTTACGATGATCAATCCTGGTTCTGTGCGACCTATAGCCCCATCTCCTGCCTGTTCCTGCTTGGCGCACCAGAACAGAGAGAAGAAGATACTAAAATACACAGAGACAAACCATGTGTATGTGAGATTTGTGCTTTATTAGAAGTGTTTTGAAGTACTGGTGACAAAGTGGTTGGTTTTGCACATGGTGGATGTCTGGTATGTTTGCCTACCTCTGTTAAAGTGTAATGAACAACTATGTCCCAACAGGTTCTGGGAAAAGTGTCTGGTGTCTTGAATGTGGCTATATGGCCGTCGTCTCCCTCACGTTTGGCTCCGCCCTCTAACAAATTTGGTTCAGACCCCCTCAATTCATGAATGTTCATGTTCTCCTACATTTGTCCTTGTTAAACACCAAGACAGCAATTTTTATGTTACTTAAAAAAAAAATTGTGCTCCTACATTTTTGTCTGTGTAACTACATTGTTTCACTTAGTTGGACAAGTGCTCCTAAAGATTGATGTAGGTGTCAAGCCCTGGTTTACCATGTCCACAAAGAAGGTGCAGCACTTTAGCAGTACAGCAGCTTTAATGCTTTGTGCATGTCTACACAGGAGGTGTTTAGGCACGGTACTGAACCATAGGTCACCCACACTTCTGAAGCACTCAGATCCTAATTCATAGTCATTGTGGTTACATGGATGAAATACAGAAAAATAGATTAGATATAAAAAAAATGCTCTGGGTCATGCTCCCGGGTGTATAGTGTGAGTAAAGCAAACACATTGTCATCCCAGGGCATCAAATACTAATGTCAAGTGTGTTTTGTGTCTCAGGCACAGAAGAGAAAGTCAATGCTTGAGAGTTTACAGTTTGGGTTACATGCATATCACTGTTTATTATGGGGTTTTGGTCTGGCTGCATTCGTCTCCAAAATACAAGCGTAAGCAGAGAGAGAAGGGAATGTCAGAGACAGCAGGATTTGAGGCTACGCTGGGAGTCCCATGAACCTGCCTTACCCCTGGATTGGATTTCAGTATGAGAAGGAAACAGGGGAGCGTCCTGATCTATGCACATCCCATGCATGCCATGCACTAGTTTATTTTCTTGGTTTAGTTACTTCCAGCTCATAATGATTATCAGGTTTTCACATCTGGGAGCAGGGGAATCCAGACTCCGGGTCTAACCTCTGGGCCACCCAGCAGGTGCCAAACCACCTGCGCCTGCTTCCCCTGTGGAACACCACCCCTCCAACCTTCTGCTATGATACTTTAACTTTCTGACTGGATGGAGCCCAAACTCTCTTAAGTCTCATCTAAATCAAAGCTGGAGTGTAGCTTAACACCTGAACTTGACTGTTTAGCTTTGAATAAAGATCCTAATTCACAACTTGAAGGCAGCTGCTCTTTACTCATAAATTCACCTAAATGTATCTTAGGGTAATTACAGTACAATAAAACACACACACACCCTTGTTTTTGTCACTTACCAGGATCCTACATAAACTTAAAATCATTTCCAGGAGACTTACTCTAACCTTAACCAGAACTGCTACTTGCCTAACCTTAACCCTTACCCTAACACTTAACCACAGCATACACTTGCTCTCACCTTACACCCCATCGTTTTCGTAAAATTCAACAAGCTTCGTTGTGGGGACCAATCTTCTGGTCCCTGCGAAGATAGTAACTCAAGTAAGTAGGATTTCAGGCTTCACAAGTATAGAAAAACAAGACCAAACATACACATCTTGACATATAAACACTCATTAAGAATAAAACCCAGAGCCTGTTAAAGGAAAGCTGCACACTGCAATCAAACTCTGCATTTATGGTCCTCATTGAGGTGAAACACTTACAGTAAGTAACACAAATCACATCTAATCCACACTCAGACAGGAAATAGAGACCAGGGATTATAGGGACCGGCTCATTTTCAGCATGGTCACCTTTTCCTTTTTAAACCAGTTATTTTGAAACACTGAGGAATGAGTGAACAGTGTGACTACATGTTTGTTTTTGTATTTAGTCACTAGTTCTGGCTTTATTCCACCCTGAGCTGTCATACTTAACTACTCACACAAAGTGCAGAGCAGAAACTGTCTGGACCATGATGGTTCAGATATTAGGAATAGAACAATAATCAGAAAAACCTGAAAGCACAAAAAGGAAAGAATAACAGAGAAGCAGTGGCAGTGAAAGACATAAGTAAAGAATGAGACCAAATTTGGAAAGTATGGCACAAGTAAAGCAAATTCTGTCATGCTCTAGCAAAAGAAGAAAACACTTAGCTACACCTGCTATTACCTCAGGCTGTAAGCTTCACTAACTATCTGAATGCAGAACCCTTACTGACGGACAGCCCCAGCTGCTCTGTGCTGCCTAATCCACAGTGAGAGGTAGTGAAAGGTGATCAAACATCTCATTCAGCACGTGCACACTATGCAGCCACTGCAAAAAGGGTTTTGCACCACTCACAAAGCAGGAGTATGAGTGGTCGTCCAGCTCATCCACTCTGACTCATGCAAGAATGCACACACACACACACACACACACACACACACACACACACACACACACACACACACACACACACACACACACAACTACGAACACACACTCAACCTGTTTACCCCTAAAGTATGCTCTCATTTCAAAAGAGCATCAAAATTCATAAATCAAACTATGCCAAAGAATTAAATAAAGCAGCAGAATCAAAACCACAGTCATCAATAATACCCAAAGGCATGCAGCACAGGGTGGTGTAATTAAAGTTGAACAAGGAACAAATCCAGGGTTATTCTGACACTTCCTGCAGAGGCCTGACTTTTTGCTGACACACAACAGGAGCGTGTCTGGACAATGGATTGTCCAAGGACAGATCTTCAAGGCCTAATTGTGTGTGATTATGTACATAGTTTAAGACAATCATACATTATCTGATCTAAAACAGCAGCCCTTCCAAGACTAGGCAAGCTGTATACTACTCCATAACCCCTAGCCAGCCTTAATTGTCAACCTTTTTTTTTTTTACACTTGGCAGCTAAAAACATGGCATCAGTGCAACCTCATTACATCTGCAGACTAATATAAGTGGACAGAGGCCAAATTGAGAGTTTACATTCATTTCATCATATCATGTTATTTCTTCTTACCTTCGAAGGAAAGGACGATTCTTGGCAGAGGCTGTGGGACGCTGAAGACCCCAGTGGAGAGGAGGAAGAGAGCCAGTGTGATGGCTAATGCCAGAGGTGGCCTGGCCAACCCCCCCGGCCTGCCCATGACTGCACTGCTTAGGACCAGTCACCGCAGCCTGTTGGGGGTGTTAGAAGGGAAAAAGCAAAGATTTTGAATACATGTATCCCTTATTTACGAACATAAAACATGTGTAACATGGCAAAATCCTTAGCATCAACTTCAGTGTGTTTCTGGTTTTGTCTCTTCTGCTAAAGCTAAGCAGAGACTAAATGGTAAAAGGTCTTATACTTGTATAGTGCTTTCTATGCATTGCAGGACCCTTAGAGTGCTTCTATTTGGCCATTCACACTCCCAAACGCTCACACACTGGTGACATCACCGGGAGTAACTGGGGGTTCAGTGTCTTCCTCATGGACACTTTGACATGTGGACTGGACAAGCCGGGAATCGAGTCGCTAATCACCTGGTTAGGAGACAACCCACTCTACTCCCTGAGCCACAGCCGCCCCAACCATGGCAAGCTGCATGAAGATGTTGGGGCAAAACTGAGTAAAATTTGGTTGAACTATTGTTCAGCTATCTAATGGTTAGCATTCATTTTTTAATGTGCTAATGGCTAAATGCTAAATGATGCTACAGTGGGAACATTTAGGAGAACCTTACTACATGTTGAAATACTATCATTTACTATATCTTTGCAGATGCACCCATCTTAAATATGGATAAGTTTAATGTGCACAAAAGAGCTGCTGGAGAAACGCTCCCCTCAGCGTCCTCTTTTTCCTTTTTCATAACAGGACAAGAGCAGCTCAATTATTGATAAATGCAGGTATAGCACTGCCTTAGGGTGCAAACTCCTGCAATGCAAACTCCACTGCTAAGAAAGACTTGGCTGCTTAAACCACTTGAAATGCCTGCAACTCTACCTATGTTGTACAAAACCACATTACAGTAAATATAAAAATTACATTTACTCAAAAAAAAAAAAACAGCTTTTGTGAGAGGGTGGCTCCCTGCACTCATAGCTTATAGATGTGCAATGAAAAATTGATGGCCAAAAGATCAGAAAGCTGCATGAGTGCTATAAAATTTTCAGTTTGGAGTGTTGTATACAAAAAAGGTATGAGATGTGGGTGTGTGACGGAGTGAAGTATGACAGATATACAGTACAGATTAAATTCTGCAGCTCTATGTGCATAAGGATACCAAAGAAAAAAACTGCACAAGACCTCTTTTGCTGCATTTGGAAGAAAGAAAACAGCATGAGGTTTAACCAGCCGGGCCGGGTGCTGTACTGCAGCCCCTCTCCTGCTGCATCACACACCCTCCCCCAGAGCATCCTTTAGCTTGGACAGCCTCCTGCAGCTATAGCCCCAAGGCCCTTGCCTGTGTCCTGCTCTAGCTTCTGAGCCCATTTTTCAAGAGACTGGTTTCCCCAAAATACAAAAGTCTTTTGTGTTTTGCCTGTAGTCGTATCTAGTCATGCTGAGGTCTTTGCCTTTATCTCAGTACAGTGGAGGTAAATAGAGAGGTTTCAAATGAAGTCTCAAGTCTTCACAGGCAAACTACAGGTAACCTGCAAATTGTTCAAGTCTCTGAATGTTGACCATAAAGATGCCACATCATTTATGTGCAAATATTCAGTGTGATTGACCGTGCTAGACTTACCTCCTGATAAGTTGACAAGATGATTTATGGCAAAGTAATGTGAGGTTTTAGACTATTGCCTAATTTTGATTCTCTTGTCTGATGTTAGAATTGGGATACCACCAAGTGTGAAAAAATGTGAACCTTCAAAGTGTTAAACATCCACAGCTACCGCCCTCCCTGCATGCCCGGAGAGGGGCTGATCCCCCTGGGAGAGGCTCTGGCATGGAAATGTTGCTCTCACAGCTGCTAAACTCATCGTCAAGGGAATTAGTTCAGAGCATCTCATGACATCCCAGGGGGTCATGTTTAGACACTTCCTTGGTTTCACAAACATCTCACTAAAGACACGAGTGCGCTCACCACCACTGTAGTGCTCGTCCGGATTAAGAGGTCTCCTGGTAAAAAGTAGTGTTTGTTATCATGAGCAATAAAATAATAAATGCTCAAATTAAATTTAGTTGAGCTCTTCAAAGTTCCAGCACATAGCGTGCCAGGAACCTCTGTGACGGCATTTAAATGTCTCGCTACAAAAGGAGGTCAGCCTGAGTCACTTTGGTTTAACAATAATTATGTTTATCGTGCATTCCTTGGCCGATTGCCTGATGAATTTTCCATCTCGTTACTTCAGAGCTGCTGCTCAAAACTTGATATTGATGAAAGTCGAAAACCACATAGCTGTGAAAGCAAGTAGGTTTCCCCCCATATTCCAGACTCGGTCTGTGATTGTTTGCCTCCCATCTGCTCCTGTTAATACCTTAAAAGACAAATACAATTCAGCTATGAGATTTCATTAAATTTAGAGTTGATAGCTTGAATTATTTAGTGTTTTGGTAGCATTGTTCTTTGTCTAGTGAACAAGAATCAAGTTGCTCTCTGTCCCGGCTCTAACAGGACAGTGTGTGTTCATACCACACCCTGTCATTCAGTTGTCAGCAGCTCGGTTACAGCCACACGTTCCTTCACACACACATAGACCCACACCCACACACACATCTGACAGGCGTGGGTAAGACTGTGTATTTCAAATGCCTAAACTTCCAGCCAGCTGATTAAATAAAGTGTGAATCCTCTGATCACAGCGCTCAAACCCTGTAATTCTGTACAATCCTCTTCTCATTATTAAACACGTTCTTTTTATAGTAAAAGGCAAAAGGTCGGCTGAATCTTAAAGCAAACTGGAAACATTTTAAATGTAATAAAGTTGTGTCAAATGTTCAATGAACCAAAAAACTATTAAAAACCACTGAATGACAGTTTTTAATTAGCTTCAGGATGCCACAGTGATTTCAACAGTCATGACTCATTCAGGAATTTATACTATATATAAAGTAGAGCATGTGAGGGGAAGCCTGACACAACAGTCTGATGTAACACTGACCGTGATTTAGAAGGCAAAGTAAGAGAAATTTATTGTTTGGCAGCCTCTACAACAGTCTGGGTTTACCTCAGCTATCCTCACCAATTCTCACTGGTGGGACTCTGCACCTGTTAGCCCCAAGCCCACCACCTCCTTTGCATCCTGCCTCGGTACGGTACAGTACAGTACAGTAAAGCAGGCAAACCCTCTTCCAACAGAGACAAGATCAAGATTGGTTCGGTACTTACCTTTCAGGGTACTCCTCTGGTGCTGGTCCCAGCTGAAGAAGCCAGGTTCCAAACCAGACCTGGGTCTTATTTATCCCCTTAAAACACCTTGTTCCCAGTTTCCTCCAGTGGCACCAGACAGGGAAAGTGCGGCTATTCCATCTAAGAGCTCACAGGGCAGGCTTGACTGAGACAGAGAGAGAGAACACGGGAGAGATGAGAGGAGAGAGGGAGGAGAGTGAAAAGACAGAAAGGACTGGTGTCCTATTACACACTCTCCACAGAAGTCCCCGTCCTCCCCCTCCTCCCCACCCCTCCCTCCCTTCCACCGTCCGCTTCCCTCCCTCCGTTAACTAGACAGCAAACAGATCACTTTAACACATACGGCTCAGAACATCTGAGCCGGAAAGGTCAGATACATGCAGGACTGAGGCTAGTTTTCATGTAGGGATGATCAGGTAACCATTCTAAAAATATTTAATTGGCCTTCCTTCACATGAAATCAGACCATTTTCCATCCATTTCTATTTTAATCCTCTAACTGAGTGTCGGCAGTTGTTTCACACTAATGTAACATCTTGTAGGGGTTTACTGTAGCCATTTTAAATTAGGCTACATTAAACCATGCAACAACATTACAGTTCAGATTTTGAGTTTCACACTGAAAATGGTTAAACTCTGATTAGAAGTGAAAGATTTTCTTGCCTAGATATTTCATTTTGGATTCAAGTGGTGGACTTAACAATCATGTAGTTGCCATTTCAAGAGCCACACAGCTAACATGCAAAAAAAAAATAAAAAAAATAAGGTAATTCTGTTCTTCTGCCAGTGCCTTCCTTCATAAACCGCCTTCACCATTTAGTATGTTCAAACATCCTCCTTCTTGCTGAAATGAGGTAAAAAAGCTATATCTGAAGCATGCCTGTATAAACACAAACACTCATTCCAATCCACATTTGTAGTTGCAACCTAAGTCCAAACCAGGGGAGTTTTGAAAGACTTGGCTGGATACATGAATGCTCCCAGTCAGTATGTGTATTACCACATGTTTGCCACTGGAAACATGCCTTTGATTGAACCCATTTCCATACTAAACTCTAGCAAGTTTGAAATTATGCCCAGTTTGCATTTTCATGAATGGATGCATTTGTGTTACTCCTGAGCTCAGTGTCATGTCACTCCACTATAAGTCCGAGCCAGGACGGGAAGAATTTTACACTTTAGTGCTCCGGCTCTGAGGTGAAATTAGAGCTT